ACAAACAGCAGAAGATAAACTAGATGAATGGGACCTTCTAAAAATTAAATTTTTATGTGCTTCAAAAGACTTCTCCAAAAGAGTAAAAAGAGAACTTACAGATTGGGAAAAAATATTCAGCAATAATATATCTGACAAGAGACTTATCTCTAAAATTTTAGAAAACTCCACCTCAACAACAAAAAGACAATCCAGTTAAAAAATGCACAGAACCTAGGATATGATGGACCTTGAGACCAAAAGAACTAGATGGTGCCCAGCTATTAATACCAATCACTAGGGAAGGGATCAAAACTGCAGATTGTGGATAGAGTGGGAGGAAAAATGTGGAACAAAATTCAAAAACACAATAACAACAGGAATTACTAGTCGGATAGAGTCTGGTGGGACCGCCAAGACTATGGCCCTGGGATACCCTTATGGCCTGGGATAGGACTCACTCCCAAGGACTGGCTCTCAGCCCAAGAGTAGAAAGACTTACATGCAGAACACCTAACCCAGGGTGATGCTCCCACGTACTCTATGGAGATACATCCCTTGGAGCAATCAAACACGGGCCACTAGAGGGGTAGCATTCACATGGACAAAAAGACAGACAGCAGTACATAACTAAGAAGGGTAGGGGATGGGTGGGGGGGTCACAGGGGAGGGAGAAAAGGAGAGTGGGTTAGGGTTGGGGATGGTAATCAGAGAGTGAAACCAAATGTACATGAACTGGTGAATGTAAAGCAAATTCTGCTCTGTAAATTTACACCCAAAGCACAATTAAAAAAAAAATGGGTAGAAGATAGAATAGACACTTCACCAAAGAGGATATCCAGGCAGCCAAACAAACACATGAAGAAATGTTCACGATCATTAGCCATGAGAGAGATGCAAATCAAAATAATAAGGAGATAACATCTTGCCCCAGCACTAGAAGCAAAGTTCAACAAGACAGAAAATAACAAATGCTGGCAAAGATGTGGAGAGACTGGGACTCTCGTACACTGCTGGTGGGACTGTAAAATGATACAACCACTGTGGAAAGCAGTATACCGATTCCTTAAAAAGTTGGAATTAGAAATATCATTTGACCCAGCAATCCCATTACTAGTTATCTATCCAAAAGAAGTAAGAGCCAGGACAAGAACAGATATATGCACACCCATGTTCATCACAGCACTATTTACCAACAGCAAAAAGATAGAAACAACCCAGGTGGCCATCAATAGAAGAATGCATAACCAAACTATGGTACATACACATAGTGGAATACTATGCAACCCTAAAGAATAACGTAGAATCTGCAAAACACCACATAAAGTGGATGAACTTGGAGGAAATTATGCTGAGTGAAATAAATCAATCTCAGAAGGACAAA